GGGCTGGCGGTCCCGGCCCTCCCGGCATCGGCCCAGGGCCCTCGGAGAGCTCGCACCGGCGCCATCTCTTCCCGGGGCCCTTGCTCTCTGCCCTTCACCCTGCATACTTCTCCGGGGATTCCTGTCTGTTCTGCCGACCCCCAATTTTCTGCGCTCACCCCACCCCAAAGCTTTAAGATATATCCGCATTGATGGAAAATTTCCTTGTGGCTTCACCTCTTCTGCGAATCGCTTTCTTCTGGAGAACCTGGTGTGCATGGAGTGGGGGCGCAGGGTGCAGGCTGGGTCAACCACCGGCCCTGGCTGGACTGGGGTGGGCTGTTGGGGAGTTAGGTGAGTAATAGACTAAAAGAGAGGTGATTTTTTGTTGTTGTTTTTTTGTTTTTGTTTTTAAGAAATATCTTTAAATAGGCAATACTTGCACAAAGTTACAAATTTCATAAGCGATGAACAGCATCTCTGGAAAAGTAATCCCCCACCCCACGCCCCCTCCTGCACCCGATCCCACCACCCCACCACCTAGGCTGCCCATGGCGGGTGTGTTTCCTAGGAGGATTTTAGGGGAAATCCTGGCTGATCTGAGAGCGCTGTTCGCATCCTGAGCTGTCTGGAGCTCACATCCCCAGCCTTTCTCCCACCTCCACCTGGCTGGCCTTTGCCCACCAGGACGCTCTCCAGACCCCCTCCCCAGCCCACACATCCTCCTCTTCCTCCCCAACCTGTTCTCAGCCTCTTTACACCAGTGCTTGTAATACAATCCTCTGCACCACAACCTCTATAAGCTTCGGCTTGGATCTGGGTGAGGAGGTCAGCTCGGTTTCTTCCTGACTTGCGTTTTCTTCCTTCTGATTTTGTTCGCTTCAAACGGAGACTTTGGTTTTTTTTCTTGCCCTAATCCCGAGTACCCCCCTGTGGCACACACAAACACACACACACACACACACACACACATTCCCACATGCTTTTTAAACCTTCATCAATTGACTCGGTCAACGAACATTCATTAGAAACATCTCCTATGCACCCGAAAAGCTGTCCCAGGATGGGTGAATCGGTTAGCCGCCCCTAGCAGGGAAAGGACCCGGGGAGGCAGGGCCTGGTGAGCTACTTTTGAGCCAGGGGCAAGTGGGGAGGACCGTGGGGTATCCCCTTGAGACAAGCACCTCCAAACCTTGGCTGCAGGAACAGGGTTTCCGCACCAGGACCTCGCATGGTGTGGCGTTTGTAGCTGAGGACCCCATCACTGGAAGCCCACACCTAACGGTCCCTCATCAAACACGGGCTCCACCCTTAAGACCCGTGGGAGCACTGGAGGGTCCCGGGGAGGTCGGTGCTCTGGGGAAATAGCGGGCATCAAAGGTCAGCCTTGGTGTGGATTTTGTGGTGCGTGAAGGGAGCCGTGTCCGTGTCCGGTGCAGGAGAGAGGAGGGCTACTGAAGGCAGGCTTCATTAGGAATTGCCAAAAAAAGCAATGTTTTCTGATCTGATCTCGCTTGAGGCTTTTGGGTCAAAGACCCTGGAATTGGACGAGGAGAGGTGGACAAGTCTTGATCTCCTCAGAGACCCCTACTTGGTCCGGGAGTTGAGGTTGTAGGGAGAAACATCAGGGGGCTGCCCGAGTCTCCCCCTACCCTCTTCAAGCCTGTAATGTAGGAGGTAAAAGGTCCTGGTCCGGGCCCTGCATGAAGCTGGGTGCAGGTTGGGCCTGAGTGTGGGGGCAGGGTGGGCTCAGCTGTCAGAGGTGGGAATTGGGGGAAGTTTGGGGGAGTTGCAGACTGGCCCTTGAATGGTTCTGAACGACTTAAAATCAGCTCCCCTCTTGGACTTTGGCCAGGTCGTACTACCTGCGTGCATTTTGGGAAGGAGTTGCATGCTTCCATTGTTCGGTTTGGATGATCTGCTTAGAGGCAGAGGGGAAGTCCGAGCAGCGGATCGGATGTTCAACTTTCTGAAGAATTAACTTTCTGTATTATAAACAGGATATCCTAGTGGCGCCATGGTTAAGGCGCTGGACTGGTGGGTTGTTTGAACCTAGCTGGAGGAAGAAAGATGTGGCAGGCAGGCAGTGGGTGCAAAGACCGACCGCCTAGGAAACCCTGCCAAAGTTCTGCTCAGTCCTACAGGGCCACTGGGAGTGGGAATCCGGAGTGGGTTTGATTTTTACATAAGCATTCCAGCCTCCCCTCTGTCCCCCAGAGAATAGGAGAAACGATTTAGAATCAAGCCAGTCGCTTCTTATAAAGAGCAGAATCTTTCTTCCTCACCCAGCACTTGCCTTGTCCCCCAAGATATTGCAGCTGACACCAGCTGAAGGACTGTATGGGCTGACATTTGTCCTTTCCCCTGGGGTTTGGTGTAGGGGGAGTTGGGGGAGATTCCAAAGCCCTGAGCCAGTCTTAGACTGAAGACCCCAGACGCTAGGGGACCAAGCAAAAGATGCACTGGGTTTTTTTGTTGGTTGGTTGGATTGGTTTTTTGCTTAAAAAAAAAAAAATCAGCTGCTAGACTCCGGACTGCATTTGGCTGTTAGCTTCATTGATGAAGGTCTACAATGAAGGTTATCTGGAACTTGGTGAAACTCATGTCTGAGGAGAAAGAGTTTGTGTCTGGAAATAAGCGCTTAGTGATTTACTCAAGAAAGAGGGTCTATACACCTTGAACGAACGTTAGAGGCAAAACCGTATGTGGGGGGGTGGGAGGGATGTTTTTCTGTACTGGAGTATAGTCTTTTCCCAGTTTTCCCAGGGTGAGAGAATATAGCTCTGACCAGATTTTCAAAGCCATTTGTGACCCAGAGTAGGTCCATATGAACTGTCTGGTAGGTGGGGGGGACTGGGGGCAAGGGAGGCTGGGGTACACTTCAGGCAGGCTCTCAGGGTGACTGGGGGGGCTTTCTGGACTCAGGTCCCAACTGTGTGATGGCTGGACGGTGGTAGGAGCGGGCTCTCAGGAGCTGGGGGGTCTGGGCGGGGGCAGGGAAATGTGGGTGGACTGGCCCAGACCTCTGGGGTGTACTGAGGGGGTGAGCAATCCAGATGTCTCAAACCCGGGGCTGCAGCTGCACTTGACTTTCTGGGGACTCCTGGAACTTGGAATGCAATTTGCAGAACCACCTCTAGCGTCTGAGGGAGGAGTCCCCTCCCTTCACCCCACCTCCACCCATGTTATTTACATGACAAGGCCTCCTCTCCGGCTCCCCAGGAGGGAAAGGGCAGTCCGTAGTTCCCTAAGATGTGTTCTTTGCGCTGCTGTCTTCCCCTAGCACCCCCAGAAAGAAACCAGTGATTTCAGGGGGGCCTGAGGCAATGGGCAGTGTGGATCCTCCTCGTGAATGAGGAGTCTAGAGGGTTAACTCTGAGTGCGGGGGAACTGTGTGTGTGGCTGTATGTGAGTGGGTGCGTGTTTGTGTCAATTATACCCACTCACCAGCATGGATTTGCCCAGGGGAGTTATGGGGCGGGGGCGCAGGAGGAGGGGCTGTTTGTTCTTTCTGGGACAGAGTTCTGGGCTCTGGGGTCCTCCTGAGTGTTCGCTTTTGCTCCCCTTCAGGACAATCTTTACCTCCTACCAGTTAGAGGAGCTGGAGAAGGCCTTCAACGAGGCCCACTACCCAGACGTCTATGCCCGGGAGATGCTGGCCATGAAGACGGAGCTGCCGGAGGACAGGATTCAGGTACCGGGCCCTGAGCGCTCCCTCTTGCACTCCCCCACTCCTGGGGACGGGGCTGCCTGCCAGCATGCCCTCATGCAGACCAGTTCGTCTGGTGGGACGGGTCTTTGCTGTACACTGGACAGGGACAAGAAGCTTGGCAGACGTGGCCCTGCTTGCTGGCCCAGGCTATAAGCTTCCCAAGGCAGCAGAAGTCAAGATTGCCAACAGACCCTGAGCCAGCTGGGCTGAGGGGCAGAGTCCTGGGTGGCTCCTGAGCCAGCACATCTGTGTGGTGGGTGTCCCCTCCCTCCGTCCAGCTCAATGTCTGCCCAAGGCCAGGGTGGACCTCTCTGAATGACTATGAGTGGGTGAGGGTGCGTGGGGGCCAGTTCTAGCACTATCTCCAGTTCCTCCTCCTCCACAGGAGACTGGCTACTCCCTCCTTTCCTGCTCCCCACAGCCCCCATCCTCCTCAGGATCCTTCCTCCGCTTACAGCCACTGGCCTTGCCCTGAGCTGCTCTCCAGGCTCGAACCTGGGCTGTGGCCTGGGATGTCCCCTGTATGTCCACAGGTGTGGGGAGGTTTGTAAAAAGCAGGCATTGACTTGGATGGGGTGTTCTCGGGTGTGGTGGGCACAGGCCTCCTTTAGGAGTAGCAAGCTCAGAACCCCTCTAGATGCGGCTGATCGGTGCCACTACAGGGACAAGGACAAGTCCCACAGCCGTCGGGCAGGGTCTCTAAGAGGCATAAGGCATGTTGGGGTGGAGGCCATCTAGAGGACTTGGAATGACCATAGCTGGGTCTCAAGCCTACGTGACATCTGCTCTCAACACTGGAGTGGACCATATAGCAGCTCCTATTGGCTGGGAAACGGGGTGCGAGGTTGGCCCCCCATTACTCTTGGTGTCTCTGAGTGTTGGAGGAGGGAGGGCACCCAGAGAAGGAACCAAAGAAGGCTCTGTGGACTCCGGAGGCCAGATTGCTGGGAAGAATGGGAGAGGCTGTGGGCGAGGAGGAGGCCGTGAGCTGCTGTTGCAGACGGGTCTCCTCCACTGGAATCCAGTGAGAACCGCCACAGTGCCGCCGGTGGCTTTGGACGTCGTCGATGCGAATGATAAGCTCAATTATTCATAAGCAGATTATGTGTTCGGTGCATTAGCCATGGTGGCCAGGGTCCATCCCGCCCACCCCACTGCCATCCAGTGTGGCGAGGGCTGGGCCTTGGTTGTAAACAGTGTGTGTGTGTGTGTGTGTGTGGTGTGTTTGACTGGGTGGGCTTGTAGGTCGGTAGCCGGTAGCCGAGGGACAGTCCCATAAAGGTGTCATTGTGTGGTACTTCTCCCTGCCTCACCTTCATTACCACACAGTTGGTCAGTACAAATGGCTGTTGGGGGGTGGGGCAGAGGCTGACAAATTCCTCCCATTAGCAGGCACCCTCCATTTGCATTATTGACCAGTATGAAGGAACAACTTGTCCCTTGAAGAGGGTTGTCCTCAAATCTGTTTGGCTGTGGTGATGGAGCAGGAGCTGTGTGTGTGTGTGTGTGTGTGTGTGTGTGTGTGTGTGTGTGTGTGCCGGTCACTGCATTGGGTTGGCTCAGCCAGTGGAGGTTCTCCGTGGGATGGTGACCTCGGCCACTGGAAACAGTGCAGTGGGGCAGGACCGCAGCTGCTCTGAAGACTGACTGACTGGGGCATTCTATGGTCGCAGGAGGGAGAGGGCAAGAAGCTCTCCAACCTCTGAGCACTGCCTGACCTCTGGCTGAATGGCCTCCCCCCACCCCACCCACCCCCACCCACCGGAAGTGTATATGAGGGTCACACAGTCCCACCCCAGAGTATTTCATCTAACATCTGAGAGAAAGGTCCTACTGAGTGCCAACCACTGTCATTCACACAGTCTCCAGGGGCCAGGTGTCGCTCCAGGCACGTGACCTGCACACGAGGGGCAGGGTTGGGTAGTGGTTAGGGACAGATGCTGATGCCAGACTGCCTGGCTCACCAGTTACCAGGTGAACTACTCTGGCCAGGTTATTTAACCTCCTGGCACCTCAGTTTTTATCTATAAAATGGGGGGTAGGGGTGTAGAGGGGAGTGGCAGCTGCCTGAAAATTTTGGGTGCCAAATGCTGGCTCCATTTCAGCTCTGACCTCATTAAGCCCTGGGGACAGTCTGATGTGGTATTAGCCTCTTATTTTGGATGGGCAAAACTCGTGTGTGTGTGTGTGTGTGTGTGTGTGTGTGTGTGTGTGTGTGTGTGTTGGGGCACTGGATTCAAATCCAGGGTTGAATCTCAAGCTACCACCACCCCCCTCCACCTCTGCCTCTTTTGGTTGAATGAAGCTTTGCTTTGACCTAAAGCTGGGGAAGAGTGGTTGTTTGGGCCATCGGACAGCCGAGCAGGGATGTAGCAAACCTCCCTTACAAAAATAACCGGTGCTCATTGAGTACCCGCCACTGTTCTTTAAAAAAGTAATAAATCAGTAACAACTCATTCATGAAAACTTTTTTTTTTGACTGGGCAAATTCATGTACTTAATTTTTTTAAAAAAGAGCCCTGTTGGTGTCTTGGCTTACACATCAGGCTGCTAATGGAAAGTCCAGCAGTTTCAACCCCTAGCCCAGGGGTTCTCAACCTTCCTCATGCTGGGACCCTTTCATAGTTCCTCATATTGTGGTGACCCCCCACCCATAAAATTATTTTCATTGCTACTTCATAACTGTCATTTTGCTACTGTTATAAATCAGGTGACCCCTGTGAAAGGGTCATTCAACCCCCAAAGGGGTCGCGACCCACAGGTTGAGAACGGCTGCACTAGCTGCTCTTCAGAAAGATGAGGTTTTCTGCTCCTGTAAAGCTTTACAGCTTTGGAAACCCAAATGGACAGTTTTCTCTGTCCCATCGGGTCCCTTGTGAGACGGAGGCGACCCCGTGGCAGTAGATTTTTAGTTCATCAAATTCACAAAGTTGAAAAATGGGTCTCCCTTCCCCTTTCAGCCGGCTTCGCCTCCAGAGGTTACCGTTTCTTCTATTTCTTCCCAGAAGTGGGCTATACTTACTGAGCAGGGCATCTTCCAAATAGCCCGTGGTCCTGCTGTGACCCCCACTTTTCGGATGAGGAGCTGAGGCACAGGTGGGGCCAGACTCAGACCGAGTCCCCCCAGACCGCTCTCCTTGGGGTGCAGGCGCGGGTCTGCACTTCGGCCTCCTTTCTTCTGACGGGTTGTGTTCCTCCGTGGGAACGGTGCTGCATTCCAGGGCCGCCCCTCCCATCAGAGCTTTCCATTTGTGGAAATGCCTTTGTGTGTATGTTGGGGTGGGTGGGGTTAGGGCGGATAAAAGGTGGTTACAGGGGCTCCGTGTCTGAGGTTAGAAATTCTGGGGGTGGCATGGAAAGGTCATTGGCCTGACTGTCAGGGTCGGGTGGCTCGGACACCCATCAGGTGCCGCACAGACCCGCTTGCTTCCTGTTGGTGCCCCTCAGCTTCCTCCTCTGTGAAAGGTAGAGTCTGAACCCCTCCGCTGCAGGGCCTCACCTGGCATTGGCTGCTTGGTGCAGGTGGAGTGAAGCACTCACAGGTGGGCTAGCCCCGCCCCCACGCCCAGGTCCTTACCCAGACAGGTGTGAGGGCTGCTGTCTAACAGCTACTGAGAACCTGCAGCTGAGATCCAAGAGTCCCACACGTCTCCTCTTAACCCTGGTCTCAGCCAATCAAACTGCGAGCCCGCCCACACCTGGAACGTAATGAGATTCTTTATCCGCAGCTCTCCGTGGATAAAGGGTTGTTATTTCTGACATCCCTTGCGTCCTCAACGTGCGTTTCATATTTTGTCTCATCGAGTCCTCTCCCTCCGCCAGAGCTAGCTGCTAGTCTTGCCCGGACTCAACGAGAGGTGAGGGGGTGGAGTAAGCACTTGTGTGGAGTTCAAATCCAGTGCTCAATTCCTCAAACACAGGCCAGGGGAGATCAGCGTGAACGCCATCGTCAATGTCACCCTCAGTCGGGACCAGCCAGGGCCTGCAGAGAAGTCCCCTGCCTTTGGTCTTTCAGAAGAAGCCGTGGTGGCATAGTGCTTATGTATTGGGCTGTGACCCACAAGGCCAGCAGTTTGAAACCAGCAGACGCTCCGAGGGAGAAAGCCGGGACTTTCTTACTACCGGCAGAAGTTCCTGTCGCGGAAACCCACAGGGGAAGCTCTCCCGGGGCCCATAGGGTCGCTGGGGATGGGAGCCAACTCGATGAACCTCACCTTTGGAGTTGGCGGCTTTCCGGGTAAACATTTAGTCTTTGTCTGTCTGTCTGGGCCGGGTTCTTGGGAAAGAAGCAGCGCCAAATGTCCATGTCAGACTCAGTGCCTTGTCCTGTGCTTCCCAAATGTGCTAGGATTTGTGCTTCCCAAATGTGCTAGAGACCCCTGCCAGGGGCAAGCGCTGGGTCTCCCCACTGCCTTGCTTTCCCTCTTGGAGTCACCGGCTAGAAGAGTAGGGACAGTACATATATTCACGCGTTTGCTTAAGGCAGTCTTCTTAGGAGACTGGCACTCGCTAGGGAAACGCAAGATCCACAGCCAGCTGGAGCCCCCAGAGCACAGAGAGCCCCCAGCTCACCGCCACACTCCGCAGCTTCCTGTTGGACCAGGAGTGGGGCTTGGAGCCGCTGATTGGCACTGCTTGATGTTGCCTCATTCCCAGTGGCCTCTCCCCAGGGATCAGGGTAGTCTTGGGAGGTTAGATTTCAGAAAATTAGAACCTCCATCCTCAGAGGTCTGCATCCCTTGTGTATTGTCAGCATCCCCAGGGCAGGGCTGGGCTCCCCTGCCTATACCTGGTGATTCGGATTTCATTGGTTTGGGGAAGAGCCTGGGCATCTGCATGCTTTTGAAGGCGCTCCAGCTGGTGCATCCATGTCCAAACTGTGGGCCGGGGGCCCAGGATGTTCGGTTCCTCTGTTTATTTATTTTTTCATTTCGTTGACGTGTTAAGTTTTCACTGTGAAGCGGCTGAAGGTTCCCCAAGCT